AAAATACTGTGGAAACCAACATATGATTTTTGAGGAATGGGAAATTTGGAAAAATTCTAACAAACCCTAGACAGTGACATTCTTGACCAAACTATAAAGACTTTCCTGAGAAACTTATATATTAATGTTATTTTTCTAAAATTTAAACTTCCCTTTGAAAAGTCATTCAAATCATCTTAATTGACTACATATCCAAACTCATTCCAATTCCAAAAATATTTGTTGCAGTTTCTTCGGTCTGTTTACTTTTATAGGTGCTGTCTAAATACCCAAAGCAGAACTGGTGGATAATTACCACCAATTTTTGAGTGGTTTCCTTGCAATAATGTTTTATATAAAAATTTGTATTATAGGCCATATCTAAAAATGAGCAGACTCTCAGAGCCATATGCATGCAATAAATACATGAAAAAAAGAGCCTATACTCATCTCTGTCCAGTGTTTCTGAATGAGTTTTTAGAACATAGGCCACAGGCCGGTGCCGCGGCTCAATAGGCTAATCCTCCGCCTTGCGGCACCAGCATACCAGGTTCTAGTCCTGGTCGGGGCGCCGGATTCTGTCCCGGTTGCCCCTCTTCCAGGCCAGCTCTCTGCTATGGCCCGGGAGTGCAGTGGAGGATGGCCTAGGTCCTTGGGCCCTGCACCCACATGGGAGACCAGGAGAAGCACCTGGCTCCTGGCTTCAGATCAGTGCAGTGCACCGGCTGCAGCGCGCCGGCCGTGGCAGCCATTGGAGGGTGAACCAGCGGCAAAGGAAAACCTTTCTCTCTCTCTCTCTCTCTCTCTCACTGCCCACTCTGCCTGTAAAAAAAAAAAAAAAAAAAAAAAAAAAAAAAAAAAAAAAAAAAAGCCACAGGTTCCCTGAATCTAGAATAGCCTCACCGTAGTATAGTTCAAGAGATCAATAGATCAATAAAAAGCTCTGCATGCAAACAATTAACATATTTGTGCAAAATGTAATAGAATTTTATGCCAATACTGGAATTTTTCATAAACATTTTATTGATTTTTAAATTACTTGGTTACAATTCTGGATTTGAAATGTTTTCAGAGAACCTTAACTGAACCAATATGATTCTTGCTTTCTCTTTCTCTTCAACAGATTCCTAAATCAACACAGTCCCAGCAGAATAAGTACAGGAGATATATCTGACGAATACAAAATCCCCCTGGTGTTCATCGCCTTCCTATTGTCATGCTTCAGCTTTGGCTCAGCCCTCCTCAAGTCAAATAAATAAAAAATAAAAAGACCATAGTTGTGAAGAAAATAGGCAAGGGCCATAAATAATAATCAAAAAATTATATTTATGTGTGTGTGTGTGTTTGTGTGTTTATGTGAGGGAAACTGACGTGTCAGAACTTGATTGATGTTACAACTATTGTATGTATGCCTGCTAAACAGTGGTCTTTCTGCTTTTAATTTGTTGAAATCTTTACTTAGCGGAACATTAAGCCTATGATTATAAATTAATTTAAAACATGCTATCACGAAAGTTATAAAACAAAGAAAGGGAAATGGAGGGATGGAGGGAAGTATCACTCTGTTCTTGGGATTGTATCTATGAATTACTTCTAATTTGTTCTCTTTATATTAAGAAAAAATTTAAATCAACATTAATCAAATGAAAAGATGTTGAACTTCAAATAGCCCAAATTTTAAATTGTCACAGAATCATTTAATTTACATAAATACATGATTCTTAACACTCTTGTATGACAGATTTAAACCAGAGACTGAGAAAACACTGTATGTGCTGCAAAACTGAAAGTGCCCGTGGTCATCGGTTTTGCTGCAAATATTATAACCTTTGAAGGTTAAAAACAAAATAAATGAAACAAGGGATGCACTACATCACAGGTTCCTTTATGTATTTATTTTTAATTTTTCATTCTGAAATAATTTCAGACTTAGACAAAACGCAGTGAAACACGTACAAAGAATTTCCATATACCCTTCACCCCACTTCTCCAAGTGTTAAAAGTTCCTCCATTTTTTTTTCTTTGATGACCTTGATACTATTTTTAAAAATTTACTTGAGAGAGAGAGGTGTGGGTGGGTGGGGCATTGGGTGGGCTTGGTGGAGACAGGTTGGGAGATAGAGAATGAGACGGAAGAACAGGAAGAGGGAGAGCTCTTACTTACTGTTTCCTTACTCTAATGTCCCCAACAATTGGGGCTGAGCCTAAAGAAGGTCAGGAGCTGGGAATGCAATCCAGGTCTCCCTCTTGGGTGGCAGGAACTCAACTACTTGAGTCATCACTGCTTTCTGCCTTAGCAGGAAGTTGGAGTTAGAAGCCAAAGCCAGATACTGAACCCAGGCACTCCAAGGCAGAGGTGCCAACCACTAGGCTAAATGCCTGCCCTCCAGCTTTGTGATGAATTACAAAATTATAAACATCTCAATGAATCAATTTTTTAAACACATAAACCAAGAGCAAGGAAGTTTCCTGATTTATCCAAAGTCACATAGTCAACCAGAACTAGACATAAAACTAGGCCTCATCCTCCTAGCCTCAATTTAATAGTCTGACCATTTCATTATTGGATGACTATCATTTCTCCCTTTCCTGAAGTATTGTGACATCTATAATATAATACTTGTGATACAAGTCTTAATAATACCATCCCTTTTACTAACATATTTTTTTTTCAACTTCTCTTTCCTCCTCAATTATTCGGAAGATCTGTGAGAAGGACCACATCAAATTTCTTTTGCAAAACTCCAACAGCCTTAGGGAGTTCTGAGCACCAGTCAGGAATGTGACAAGTCTATGCTGATCTGCCTGGTTCCCTAGTGGTAGGAAACAGTCCAGGGGTAGAATGAATGATGCAAATGAGCACAGGAGCTCCAGGGGAAGTTCAGATTTCAGATGATTTAGGAAGTATATTTGACATAGAAAATCAAAATACAATTGTATAGTTATGTGCTGGTATATATCACTGTGCAAAGCACATGACTTATATTTAATCCTTGAATCCTTGCAACACTATAGCTGTTCTCATTATAAAGATAGGGAGCCTGCAGCAGGCCAAGCAGCCCGCCCAATGCTAAACAACCAGTAAGTCATACACTAAGTTAACAGTCAAAAGTTGGAAATGGTCATGTAATTCACCAACAATGATCCTCTGTACACACCTATTGCCAAGGCAAGAATTTCTTTTGTGTGTGTTCCTTTGTCTTCCTAATAAGAATCAGTGCGAGTAAACAAGCAAATTTTAAATTTGAATTTGAGTTTGAATGCGAATTTCTATACTCATTTTCCCCTTCACTATGGTATACTGGCAGTCATTTAAGTTGACGTCTCAATGAACAAAAATATATTTAGCATACCTAAATATTAATATAAATAAATCATGATTCATGATATCAAATTTTTTCTATTCCAGTATACTTGTTTGAAATCTATTCTTAGGCATAGCTAAAACAAAAGTAAACATTGGGGGCAGGGAACAGGTGTACAGAGAGTAGGCTCAGGTAATAAACCTGCAAGATCATTATGATATATATTTCATAATGCATCAAGTAAAATGTATAAGATATAGTGTACTACTATCTCAACTATTCTTAGACGAAGTAGCTGTTCCTATGTCATTTCTCCTCAATTGCTGTTTGCCAATTAAAAAAAAAAGAACACTGGCTTGAGGATGTGTACAAAATCTCTTCTGAATCTGATAAAGGTCATCAGGGAGCAATAAAGGACAAGCTTAAAAGCACTTTGTGAAAACTGTGCAGTGCTGTTGCCAATATTTGTGTGCTTCGTAAATACATTACCTCTGTCTTAAATTGCTGGAGGAAAAAACCACGTTTATTCTAAAGCTCTAATAACAACATTCTACATAGAGTTAGCAGGCATAAATCATTCTTCTTCCTCCAAGGATACAAAGTGATGTCAGGAAGAACAATTGCATCCTTCCTGGTCTACTTCAAGACAGAGGGACAGAGTCCTGAGCGTTTTGATGAACCAGAACAAAATGAAAATCATAATCCATGTTATAATTCCATCTCAGTATGGCTTTGAAAATGTGTCATTTGGGCCGGCGCCGCGGCTCACTAGGCTAATCCTCCGCCTTGCGGCGCCGGCACACCGGGTTCTAGTCCCGGTCGGGGCGCCGGATTCTGTCCCGGTTGCCCCTCTTCCAGGCCAGCCCTCTGCTGTGGCCAGGGAGTGCAGTGGAGGATGGTCCAGGTGCTTGGGCCCTGCATCCCATGGGAGACCAGGAAAAGCACCTGGCTCCTGGCTCCTGCCATCGGATCAGCGCGGTGCGCCGGCCGCAGCGCGCCGGCCGCGGCGGCCATTGGAGGGTGAACCAACGGCAAAAGGAAGACCTTTCTCTCTGTCTCTCTCTCTCACTGTCCACTCTGCCTGTCAAAAAAAAAAAAAAAAAAAAAAAAAAAAAAAAAAAATGTGTCATTTGGAAAACTATTTGATCAACCAACCAGAATGCTTGCTTTGCATTCCCTTTATCTTTGCATTCTTGTTTGTTTTTTGATTTTTTATTTTTGACAGGCAGAGTGGACAGTGAGAGAGACAGAGAAAGGTCTTCCTTTGTGCCGTTGGTTCACCCTCCAATGGCTGCCACGGCCGGCGCGCTGCAGCCAGCGCACTGTACTGATCCAATGGCAGGAGCCAGGTGCTTCTCCTGGTCTCCCATGTGGGTGCAGGGCCGAAGGACTTGGGCCATCCTCCACTGCCTTCCCGGGCCACGGCAGAGAGCTGGCCTGGAAGAGGGGCAACTGGGACAGAATCCGGAGCCCAGACTGGAACTAGAACCCGGTGTGCCGGCGCCGCAAGGCGGAGGATTAGCCTATTGAGCCACGGCGCTGGCTGCATTCTTGTTTTGGAATACGTAGATCAATATGCACATTTAATGCAGTTATACACATTTGGGAAGTGGGGCATAATCATGGAAGCTCTCACACAGGTTTCCAAAGGACACAAACAAAGCAAGAGAAGTGAAGGGAAAGATGAAAAGGCCTCAGAAAGGAGTCGCTACTCACAATGTTCATCAGGGTGAGGAGGTAGTTTTGGACGTGCTCTTTGCCATGGAAACGGACCACAGAGTCATCCACACCCAGCAGCACCTCGATGTTGTAATCGTTTTCTCCTGCGTGTCTGCGGCGCCTCATTGTTTCATTCAGCTGCTGGTCAATGCTGCTGTAAATTGTACCTAGATCATCAAGGCCTTCCACATCGGACTCTATCAGGAAAGAAAAGGAACCCAGGTGTTTCAGTTTACCCAAAGGGCCTTCTAATAACTTCTGAGTATAGTGAATCTTCCCCGGGGGGCCATCATTAAAATCTATAATCACGTAGATGCTTCTTTAAAGTATAGCCTTCAATAACCAGGCGCATGCAGAACTCCTATAGATTCAACATGGACCAGCAACACTGAGGGTAAAATAATATTGCTGTACAGATAGCTGTACCACCAGGCCAGGCTGAACGCTCCATGAGGCTAACAGCAGCTTGGTCTTTCTCCTGGCTATATCCCCAGGGCACAGCAAAGGCAGTGAAGTACAAGAACACATGTTTATTCAGTAGTTGTAAACTAAAAGGAAATTATAAATAAAAATTGCATGTCACCATATTAGCAGTTTTTAACTTATGGCATTATAAAGGTGGTATATAGAATTGGTATCATATAAACTTGAATTTCTTCTCTGATAATTTTAACAAATTATAGCACAGCAATAAAAAATGTCTAGTGGGGTGATGACTGGTCAACTTCTATTACTTCTTGTGAATACTGCTGTCTAGCAGATGCTGCTAAAGAAGAAGTGCATAGACAGGTATATCTCGTTAACACTATGCAATAGTTCTCTGCATCTGCACAGGCCATCACAAGTAGAACAGGCCACCTGTCATTTCAGTAGCTGTGTATCTGAATCTATGAGATACCAGAGTAAAGGGTAAGTCTGAAAATGGCCTACATCAAAGAAAAAATAAAAGTATAAATAATTTTATGCAGTTCAAGGAATTTCATTTTATACCTTACAAATGAACATTTCATATATATTACACACACATACAGATATTTATACACAGGAAGATATATACATGTATACACATACATACTTATATACACACGTATACAGATATACATAAATAAATTTATATAGTTATACATGAGGACTTCAAAAGATTATAGAAAATAGAAATTCTGGGTCCCCAAAAGTTTGAAATAGATGGATAGTTTTTTCATAACATGTAGATTCCATGAAGTTTTCAAAGATTCCTCTTTGGTTGTGTGCCATTGACATATAGATACATATATGGAGAGAAAACACAAGAGAGATATTTTCAGGTTTTAATGAATTAGATTCTCTGCCTTCAGAGGACTGTATCTGTAGAGGAAAAAATGTTTTGTGAATTAAAAAATCATTGGATACTAAAATTAAAGAGATTATTCAAAACTGCTCATATAAAAACTGAGAGTATATTCATTTCCATTTCAAATACAAACTCAGAAAGGACATTATTTTATAAACTGCCTTTATGGCTAAAATAAGCTTGACAGAACAAATTTGACTCATGCTGTATTCGGACGTTCATTTAATGCTATGAGGGACCTGTAAGCCGTCTGATTCTGTGTCTGACAGAAATGAACATGGGTTTTCCTCTCTACCTTTGTGGCTTTAGTAAGGTCGAGGGGGAAAGGTGTCTCCTGGTCGGGAAGACTGATGGCCAAGCCCTATCCTCATTGCATCAGAAGCAGTGGAGGCAAAGATCCCACTCACACCTTTGCTACTTTAAAAAATATATATATGGAAACATCAACACACCCCTTCCATGTACAGGCAGAAGCTATGAATATGACAGTGCACGTCTGAAAGCTGTACTGTGGTTCACTTTGACCCAAGCCTAAAGGCTAGCTCATTAGGTAGGCATTTCTTCCCACAATTATATAAATACTTCTCACCACTGTCCACATCAAACAGGAAGCTTTCCCAAAAAGTTGTTTTTAAGAGCAGTAAGCACACACTGAGGGCAAGAGACTATACCTGTGCAAAGCTCTACTTTTGAACCTCAAGTCTTACCACACATTTGAGCATGTGAAAGGTTATGGCAGCCTGTGTGCTGCCAACAAACTCTTATACTGGAGTTCTCAGTTCAACATCTGTCAGACAACATCCAGGGGAAACACACTACTAGTGTCATCACATCAGCAAACCTGATGCTTGAATGAGGAAGGCTGAGTACTTATTTCAGAATGACAGTTCATTCTGCTCTAACCCACTTTTGGCTTGGTATTTGCATCGCTCTTTTGGTATCTACCTTGGTATCTGCATCTGCCTTTCTAGTAAGAGAAGAGAATCACATTTTATTGTTGTTTCTTACGGAATCTGGGAAGAAGGAGGCCTTTGTGAGTCAAGAATACTTTGGTCCCTATTTTCCTGTGTGCTATGCTATGTCCCTGTGTTCTCTTCCATGATCCCTAAAGTAAGCAAAGTCAAACACTTCAAAAAAAGACAGGGAGATAGTTTCTGGTAGTTCTTATTTACATGCAGCTTGGAGGCTGGGAAGTACTTTAGTGCAATGAATTTTCTTAGACCTTGTCTTTTACAGTGTAATAGTCAAGTGATTAGCATGGGTTTTATCATCAGACATACTTGGTTTCAAATGTTGGTAATATCATATCCTAACAGTATGATATGACTTGAGATGCCTAAGCTCTTGGATACTCAGTTGCCTCATCTGTAAAATCTGATAATACTACTTAAAGTTTGCAGAATTACATAAAATGAGTTAATGGTGGTAAAAGAATTATGCATAGAGATTAGATGTAAAGTGGTCAACAAATGGTACTTACTGCTCTATGATTTTTTTCCCCTTAAAACAAGCCTTCAGTTTGTAAAAGTCCTATAGATCGAAAATCACATACTTACAGTGCTTTTAAAAGAGATAAGTAAAACATCTGGAATTAGTTAAGGAAATTCTGCATTACTGATAACCTTCAGAAATGAGAATAGTATCTCATTTTTAGAGAACCAAAGAAATATAAGGAGAAAATAATCTAGAGTGTTTGCTTTCAGTTAAAATTAGTGTTAAGCCCAATGCTAGATGCTTGTTTAGTGGCTTCAAAATTTAATGCTAGATTGCAAAAAGTTAATTTACAGACAACACTCATCTTCTTCACTCAACAGATACAAGAGGTCTTCAGAAAGTTCATGAAAAATGCATATTTTAAAAAGATAGTCATATATAATTGTTTATAAGATTTTTATTTTATTATTTGAGAGGTAGAGGTATAGTCAGAGAGAGGGAGAGATAGACAAAGGTCTTCCATCTGGTACTTCACTACCCAAATGGCGGCAATGGCTGAAGCTGGAGATCTGAAACCAGGGGCCAAGAGCTTCTTCCCGGTCTCCCACGCAGGTGCATGGGTCCAAGGATTTAGGCCATCTTTTACTGCTTCTCCAGACCATAGCAGAGAGCTGGATCAGAAGTGGAGCAGCCGGGACTTGAACCAGTGCCCATAGGGGATGCCGGCATGGCAGGTGGTGGTTTTACCGGCTTTGCCACAGCGCCAGCCCCTATGTGTGACTTTCAAATGGTTTTAAAGATTTAGTTTATGCACTGCTGAGAAGAATGTAAAATCTTTAGCTGTAGGATTGAAAGTTCTGTATATATCTGTTAGATCCATTTGGGCTATAGTGTCATTTAAATCTACTGTATCCTTGTTGATCTTCTGTCCTGTTGATCTGTCTATTTCTGAGAGTGGAGTATTGAAGTCCCCTAGTACTATTGTATTGGGGTCTAAGTCTCCCTTTAAGTCCCTTAACAAATCTTTTAAATAAACCGGTGCCCTGTAATTAGGTGCATATACATTGATAATTGTTATATCTTCCTGTTGAATTGATCCCTTAATCATTATATAGTGTTCCTCTTTGTCTCTCTTAACAGTTTTTGTGGTAAAGTTTATGTTGTCCGATATTAAGATGGCTACGCCTGCTCTTTTTTCATTTCTGTTGGCATGGAAAGCCAAGACACTCTGGAAAAAAAAAAAAAAACCTAAATGAAAGATCTCCGCGTGTGAGATCCCAGTGGAAAGAATGGGTCATCAAAGAAGGAGGTACCTTTCTCTGAAGGGAGGAAAGAACTTCCACTTTGAACATGGCCTTGTCTAAAAATTATCAGAGTCAGTGAACTCAGGGGGCTTCCATAGCCTTGGCAGCTCATGATAAGAGCCTAGGGTGATTACTGAGGCCATAAACAAGAGTGTCAATTTGTTAAGTCAACAACAGGAGTCACTGTGCACTTACTCCTCGTGTAGGATTTCTGTCCTTAGTGTGCTGTACATTGAGATTTAATCCTATAACTAGTACTCAAACAGTATTTTTGACTTTATGTTTCTGTGTGGGAGGAAACTATTGAAACCTTTGCTTAATGTATGCTAAACTGATCTTCTGTATATAAAGAGAAACGAAAATGAATCTTGATGTGAATGGAAGGGGAGAGGAAGTGGGAAAAGGGAGGGTTGCAGGTGGGAGGGACGTTATGGGGGGAAGCCATTGTAATCCATAAGCTGTACTTTGGAAATTTATATTCATTAAATAAAAGTTAAAAAAATAAAGATTTAGTTTATTTGAAAGGCATAATTATATAAATATATATGGGGGGGGAGGGAAGGAGGGAGGGAGGGAGATATCTTCCACCCACTGGTTCACTCCCTAAATGGCTGCAACATCCAGGGTTGGGCCAGACCAAAATGGAGAGCCTGGAAGTTCTTCTGGGTCTTCCACGTGAGTGCAGGAGCCCAAGCACAGCAGCCACTTTCTGGTCTTTTCCCAGGCACATGAGCAGAGAGCTGGATTGTAAGTGGAGAATCCAGGACTCGAACTGGCACCAATATGGGATCCCAGCATTACAAGCAGCAGCTTAACACACCATGCCACAATGCCATCCCCTCAACATTTTTGCACCAAAATATACTTAATCTTTAATTACATTTTCCATTATCATTTGGAAGTGTTCTTGTATTCACTGAGTAGCCACACCTGTACACCCTGAAAAGCTGTACATCTCTCTAGGTGTCAACCCTGGGCACCACACAGTTCCATTGGATTTACATTTAGAATGCAGCCAAATTTGTTTCATGTTGCAACAATTATATAGGTTTGAATCCTTTCCACAGCTGGTAGGTTAGGCAGACTTTATCATGGTACTAGCACATGCCAGTTAGTACTAGATCACATC